CTGCTCTGTTACTGTAGGATGTTCATCTATGAGCAACAGTTGCGATGAAACCAACTATATTTCACCTTAGGAAGGAGGCAGTGGCAAACTACTTCCAAAAAAACCAAAACATGCTGCCAAGAAAACTGTATGGACTTGTCTATGTAGTTACCAGGAGTCAAGCTGACTTGAGGCCCCCCCCAAAAAACCCCAAGAACAACCACTAGCCTGCAGTCCAGGGATTTCCTGGTGGTTTCCCATCCAAATATTAACCAGGCCCAACCTGTTAGCTTACAAGGTTAGTCAAGTCTGGTATATAGTTTAATAAGTCAGCACAAGTTAAAATACATTTTCATTTCTTTATTAATAGAAGATGCTTTCTGCACTGTGGCTCACTGGCTGGATTTCTCTCGTTCATTTTTCATTCAGCTGTTGTAAGTATACTACATTTCTTTCTGTCTGATATCACAATGAGTGTCACATACCAACATTTGGGTTTTTCCCAACTCAGTTAACCAGTCTCCTATATGGTTGGTTTATTTTGATTTGCACATTCACACCCAACTTTGATGTCTCATGATGTGTGGTTATTCTTGCAATATAGGAACAGAGATATATAGTTAAAACTCAGTGCATATGAGAGAAAGTTAAAGATCCATGTCTCATTTTGAGTTTCTTCTGTACTTAAAATAACATTCAGGTTTGCTTTTTCTGAAATAATCTTTCTCACAGTTTTATAATATAAAGTGAACTCTTTATTTAAACAAAAGTAGGAAAGAGCAGGAGAATGATCTTATAGTAATTGTTAAAAGGCATTTGTTCTTTAAATACTTTGAATAAATTTCTCATATTTGAATTAAATATTTTTGCCCTTGCTGGTATAATTGCCAATTTTGCATGCATGTATTTTGTTTATACCCATTTTTCTCCAATAATTGCCATTCAAAGTGCCATTCAAACAACAATAAATTAAAAATAAAAACATAATTAAAACACATGAATAAGACAAATAGCATCAGGTGTGTCAGCATACATGGGATTAAAAATATTTTTGCCTGTGGATAAGATGGAAGGGCTAGCCTTATCATCTTTGAGAGGGAATTCTGAAGCCTAGGAACAGTAATTGACAAAATCAGATATGCTGATGTTTGTCTGATGATGGTGCTGAAAGAATGGCCTGCTCTTAAATTGCCATTGTTGCCATGATAACATAGATTTTCAGATGGTCACTGGCCTGTAGAATTAAGGAGTTGGAAGGGTTCTTAATCACTGTAGGATCCACGATGATGTCTCTCTTTGAAGACCTCTAGAGAAGGAGAACCCACCACTTCATATTCAGATATTTGAAGACTATTCTCATATATTCTCTCAGCCATCTCTTCTGCAAGCTAAACATAATCAGTTCCCAT